CCTCCATCCATCCCAACTACCACTGCTGTGGCTTTGGATAAAGAGAAAGAATAGGATGCCTAGGCCCAGCAGCTGAGGAAAGGCTGCACCTCTGTCCTCTGTACTGTCATGGCCTCAGAGGGAAAGAACAGCAGTCAGCAGCTGCTGGACTTAATCCCCTTCCCCACTGCCATCCTCTTTTCTATTTGTATGGTATCTTTTTAAAATCATAGAGTCATAGAGTTGAAGAGACCACACATTCAAATCTAATCCTCTGACATGCAGGAATACACAATCAAAGCACTCCCGACAGATGGCCATCCAGCCCCTCTTTAAAAAAACTCCAAAGAAGGAGACTGTAACGACGAGTCCCACTCATCCAACTATTTTCCCATTGTGGCAGCCCCATGGGTTTTGTTATCCCACTGCTGCCACCAATTTGTGACAGTGCCACACCTTTCACTTCACTGTTCCCCACAGACGGCAGTCCAATGGGGTTTTGTCATTCCACCACTGCCACCAATTTGTTACGAGCACCTGTACTTTTAAAAAATATTTTCCTTATTAATTTGTGACACTGCCACCTTTGTGTGACGGTCACTTTATTTTTCTTGTGTAAACTAATTCCTTATCTGTAAATGTTAGCAGCATGGTTACTTATTCAAGTCCCAGACAAGCCTGAATTTGAACAACAATAAAACTTTATTTGAAAGATGATTTGGACAATATTTCACTTGCTGAACTGTTTTATGCACTTGCTACTTCAAGGTCTTACTTTCTTGGTTTCACTTTGTTACAGTTTACTTCACAACACTCTCTCTGGAGAACAATAGTTACTTTTACCCAGGACCCACACGGTCCTTATATTAGAGTTAGGGCCTTTACAGACTGCCAGAAATAATGCAGCTTGAGGCCACTTTAACTGTCCTGGCTCAGTGCTAAGGAATCATGGGAACTGTAGTTTATTGTGGCACCAGAGCTCCCTGACAGAGAAGGCTCAAGCAGGACTAGGCAACCTTTCCCCTTTAAGGGCCGAGGGACTTCAGCTCCCAGAATCCCAGGAGCTATTGGCCAACATGGCTGAGGCTTCTGGGAGCTGAAGTCCCTTGGCCCTTAAAGGGGAAAGGTTGCCTACCCCTGGCTCAATGTCTCAGAAAAAAATACGATTCCCATGATTCCCTAGCACTGAGCCAGGACAGTTACTTTCCTAAATCTAGTTCTGTACCAGCCACCAAGGCTAACTATAAGTCCCACAGGATATTACACCACAGCAACTCCCTCCCTCAGAGTTCTGTACATGTCCTTAGTCCCTCACTTCTGGACTCTAATCCTAACGGCCCCTATCTGACTAACTGTCACCAACGGACCTATTTATTTTCTCCAGCCTTCAATTTGATTGGCTGGCTCCATCTCCCTCACTATTGGCTGTTGCTAGGCTGGCCAAACTCTGCCTTCTCCCCAAAGAGACTCCACAACTCTCTGAGGGAGAGTGTCCCACTGTCTCACAGCTCTTACTGTCAGGAAGTTCTTCTTAATGTTGAGGTGGAATCCCTTTTCCTGTAGTTTTTAGATTGTAAAACAATTGTCAAATTAACAATTGTAAACTGCTTGTGTAAAGCACCATGTACATTTATAAATAAACAATGATAATTTAAACCAACCAGCAGCCATGCTGGAATATATAACTCAGGGGTAGGCAACCTTTCCCCTTTAAGGGCCGAGGGACTTCAGCTCCCAGAGGCCTCAGCCATGTTGGCCAATAGTCCCATGTTGGCCAATAGCTCCTGGGATTCTGGGAGCTGAAGTCCCTCGGCCCTTAAAGGGGAAAGGCTGCCTACCTCTGAATAACTAAAGCATTCCAATTTCTTTTTAAAGACCTCCAAAGATGGAGAGTCTGCCATCCTCCAAGGCAGTCTTTTCTATTGTTGAACAGCTCTTACAGTTCCACTGTCCAAGGCAACCCTTAGAACTCATTATTAAATTCCATGTCTTCAAAACAAATTCATTCACACACTTGACAGATATTCTTTGTTCAATGGTTTCTAAGGATTATAACATAATCCAGTTTATTAGCAGATTTGATTCTATCACCTGTGACCTAAAGCATTATAAAGATTTGTCACCATACTACCTCCGTTCTTATGGACTTGTAGTCTGCAGTTTTGCATATTCATGGATGGGCGACCTCCATTAAAATCAATGGGCCGTGGCCCCATGGGCACGCCATTCAAGCCTATGGGGCTTGAATATTGGCGAATCTCCATTTTCGTGGGGGGGGGGTCCGTAACGGAGGGCCGACTGTACATGTTTTAATTACTCTATCAATGCCAAGATATCTGTTATTATCATTTTTTGTGAATGGCCACTATTAATAACATCATTATCAGTGGGTTGGTTTGAGATTTAATCATATTTATTATAGACTAGAGATGGAAAAGATAGAAAAGGGATGATTTCATTATCTGTTGGTGAGCTCAATATCTGTCTCAGGGGGCTTGCAGACTGCCAGAAATAGTGCAAATTTAATCCACGGTTAGGGTTAGGGTTAGGGAATCATGGGAACTGTATTTTATTGTCGCACCAGAGCTCTCTGACAGAGAAGGCTCAATGTCTCAGGGGAAAAAAAACAATTCCCAAGATTCCCTAGCACTAACCCTAACCCTTAAAGTGGATTCAATTTGCACTATTTCTGGCAGTCTGCAACCCCCCTCAGTAACAGCTTACTAACAGTTAACCCATTTCTACTAAGTTCCCCATTACTAGTAGAAACCCACTGAAATCTATGGCACCTACATTAGTCATTGATTGCTATGTGAACCTTACCAAATCTGGAAGCAACCCACTTTCTGTACTCCTGCATTCTTTTGTATCTGACCTAACTATCTGCCTAAATACCCTAAAGGCACCTGATCCCATCTGATCTTGAAAGCCAAGCAGAGTCAGCTCTGGCTAGTACTTGGATGGGAGATAGCCAACAAATACTAGGCACTGTAGGCTATATTACAGAGGAAGGCAACTTGAAGGCAAATACACACACACAACTGTCTACCTCTCTCCCCAAACCACCTCTAACATAGCTAAGCTTCTGGAAATTTTTCTTTGACCTTCTTCATAAACTAGTCTTTCAGTTAGCTCAATTAGCTGAATATGGATTCTGGAAAGCTGCAGTGTCAAGGTAATACAGATGAGTGTTGAATAAGACCTTGTGTTTAAACGGAGAAATAAAAGATGTACGTTGTCACTTTTTAGCTAAATGTATGAAGACTTCAGAATGTGGTGCTGTGCATCCCACTAAATAAATATTTCACCTAGATGAATTGTAAAGTATTGATGCACTAACAGCTCATCTTGAGATATAATTATAGTCATGCTTTTTCCTAGTTGTTTTATTCTGTAGATTTATTGTGCTTCTGAGACGTATAACAAAGTTGGTTGTAAAATCCTGACAAATTGTTTTCCTTTTCCTGACCCTAGATACTGTAGTTTATAAAGTGTTTTTAGTGGGGATTATTGAAACAGAGATTTGATCTGGTTGTCCTTCCAGAAATTACTCTCTTCAGTCATAAGTAGTTTATCAGACTTCATATGCATATTGTTTTTAAACAGGGTACTCTGTGGCTGTAGGTGAATTCACAGGAGACTTTCAACAAGGTAAGAAGCCAGTATCCTTCAGGTCAAATTCTGTACTCTATGAGTTGGTTATTCTACTATTTCTTCTCTGTATGAATGTTCAAAAAAACAGTTTAATTGATTGATTTTAATACTTAGACTTTAAGACTGCTTAATATACTATAGCTTTCACAGGTATTTGTAGCAATCACCTCCATGATCATTGGGTTTATTCATAATAGCTGAACACATGCGTGCCTGTCTTCATGGGGTAAAGACTGCTCATGAAGACAAAAAAATGCGTTGTCAGAACCAGCTCTTAGAGAGAGAGATCAACTAAAATAATTCAAATGCACAATTAAACTGGGTTTTGTACATTCCGCATTGCCTCTTATGATTATGGGAAAATAATACATGCATGTCCTCTGAGTTGTGCACACACTCTAGTACACAAATTGAGTTTCGTGATTAAGTTTCTGTGTAATGTTTGTGAATCTTTCAGTCATTTATTGATGCTCAGTTGCATAAAAGGAATAATGGGATCCTTTTATTTATGACTATAGGTCCAAACCACACTGCAGAAATAATCCAGTTTAAGACCACTTTAACTGCCCTGGCTCAATGCTAGGGAATTCTAGGAACTGTAGTTTTGTGAGACATTTAGCATTGTCTGTAAGAGAGCTTTGGTGCCACACTAAACTAAAATTCCCAGGATTCCCTAGCACTGAGCTAAGGCAGTTAAAGCAATCGCAAACTGAATTATTTCTGCGGAGTGTTTTAGACTTACAGAGTCACTTGCATAGAATCATACACAGCACTTTCGAGGTCTTAATGTACTGGGTATCTTAAGTTTATTAGACCTCTGTTACAGGTGCTGTGCTGAATAAAAGCAAATTATATGATTTGGTCTTAGATTTATTGCAGGTCGAGTCTTCCTTATCCAGAATTCCAAAATATTTCAAAATCCCAAACTTTTTCGTGAATATAAGATAATGACGCCTTTGCTTTCTAACAGTTTACTGTACACAAACTTTGTTTCATGCACAAAATTGTTAAAAATGTTGTATAAAATTACCTTCAGGCTATGAGTATAAGGTGTATATGAAACATAAATGAATTTTGTGTTTCAGTTTGGGTCCCATCTTCAAGATATCTCATTATGTATGTATGTGCAAATACAGGTATTTTGAAAAAATGTAATAAAAAATGTAAAATTCCAACACTTCTGGTCAAAAGCATTTTGGCAAGGGAGACTAAACCTGTACTTTAGGGCTTCCCAGGGGATTTTTTTTCCAGTAAACCTGTGAACAGATATTATTAGCCCCTGCATTCTCTCTGCAGCAGGACTTAGATTAAAAATATTGAAATTCTTTATGTTCTTGTTAACATATTGACGTAGGGACAGTCCTAGAGAACCAGTGTTGTGTAGTGGTTTGAATGTTGGGCTACAACTCTGGAGATCTGGGTTCGATTCCCTGCTTGGCCATGGAAACCGACTGGATGACCTTGGGTGAATCATACACTCTCAGACCAAGAAAAAGCCACGATAGGTTCACCTTAGGGTTGCCATAAGTCAAAAACAATTCAAAGGCACACAACAACAACAACAACAGCAACAGCAACAACGGGGCAGCCCTACCATTAAGCAAAATGAGGCAACTGTTTTGTAGGGTAGTTGTTGGGATATGACATTAAAAGTGTTGGAGGAAAAAAGTGCTTGACACACAACCTACTCTGTGCTCCCTAAGCTAGTCCTCAGCCTTATGTATGAAAGGAGATGTTTGATTGCTGGGGATGGAGAAATATTCAATGGCTGGTTCAGTTATTTTTTTGCACATAAAATGGAAGGAGGCACCATCTTGTTCTTCTGTTCAGACAGCAAAGTGCCTTGGATTTATCCTGTATGAGAATGTAGTATTGATAACTTATTGTTTTCTACATCAAACTAGGGATTTTGGTCGGCAAACATATCCTAAATGTTGATGCTATTGAAATGTTCCTGAATATTTATGATACATTTAATAGTAGTCTTGTTGTATCAGCATATTCTCTAAAAAGTTTCTGAATAATTGCTGTGGAAGCAGGTATTGTACTAAGTTAACTTTCAGACTTCTGTTTTTTCTTTAGAACTGGTAGCTGGAGTCCCAAGAGGTGCACAGAATTTTGGCTATGTATGTAATCTATAAAATATTTTATTCCACCTGCCTGGCACAAATGGTGAATTAATACTGAACAAAATGTTTCTTTTTCCCAAGGACATTTTAAATAGGTTTCAAAATGTTTTGCATTGGATCATGAAAAAAAAATCATTTGAAAGCCTTGGCTGAAACTCATTTTTTGTCCCAAGGTATAGTCTTCACCAACAGTGAAATAGGATTTTGGGGAAGATACTACAAACTGCAAAGGCAATGTACTTCACATGACAAAATGTACCCTTTTAGATAAATTCCCAGAGCCAAAGTTGAAAACAATGCCTTAAAAATATTTTTATTACTCATACATTAATGAAGTAATAATGATCTTATTGGTAGCTATCTCTAATTATAAGGAAACATCGGAGATTGCTTTGATAATATGCCAGGTTTGCATGTTACCCAAAAACATTTTTTTGTGGGGGATTCTTTTAGCTATTTGGGACATTTTTGATGCCGATGATTTCCCCCCCCCCCAATTTTTTTTCTTTTTTAATTTCTTAATCAACAAGAAGTGTAGCAGTTCATTTTGACATGCCAGGAAGCCTCACACAACCAAAGTACTATTACAAGTATAAACAAGGCACACTTGTAATTGCATCTGTGCAGAAGAAGATTTTTAAAAGACAGGAAAGGGTATTAGTCTGGGGTGCAGGAAAGGGAGTGAACTCTTCAGGTGTTGGGGTGAGGGGGACTTTTGGGGAGGTACACAGTAGAATCACAGAAACATAGTTTAAAACAACAGATAAACCATGCTAAAGGCCAAGACTCCCCTGCAATAGTACAAGTGCTAATAAGTAAATAATGTCAGAAGCAATATGTTTATAATAAGTAATGAAATAATTTACATGAATAACACTGACAATAATGGTATCAACAGTAGTTGGATGACAGGGATAATAAATAATGTAACTTTACCCCAGTAATGTACCAAGCTCTGTTCTAGAGCTCCTATATACATTCCGTGGAATTTCTTTTTCTTTGATAGCACTGCATCTTTCTTCCTTTAATAGTTTTGTATGCATTGCCCACCCACCCCAATAAGAATTCTGGCCCCATAATGAAGTTTTGCTCCAGTCTCCACAGTTCCAGCATTGCAATTCCAGCATTGCAAAGAGTGAGAAGACACAGAACTCTTATATTTACTGTTTTTCTTTGGTCACTTTGCCTTCCCTTTTTGTCTGGATGCCTGAATTATATTTCTAAATGCTCAACTGGAGTTTTATGTTACTGCAATGCTTGACGGGTGAGGACTAAAGGGAAATGTAATTTTGGGGGCAGAAGTCTTATTTGGGGGACAATGCCTTCATTTTGTTACACCCTTGGAAAGATGCAATCAGGCTACAGAAGAATCAGAAGGGATAACCTTTTATTACAGTCACGTTGTAGAAGGAAATGTTAACAACACTGGCAGCTCCGTGTCTAATTCCACTCCAAGAACACAAGTAGTTTTAGTAGATTCAGAAAAACTTTATTCAATAAACAGAGCAGATCACAGTACATAGTTGTTGTCAGGACTGAAGAGTTCTTTCTATTATACCATATACTTAAAGTTCAACCAATTCATCCGTTAAAAAAGCCCTTATCCCATTCGCCAGCAGCTCAAAACACACTGTCTTCCCAGGTCTTATCATCTTCCTTTTTCCTGTACCGAGCTACAGCTTCCGACAAGAATCTGCAGCTTATATTTCTTCCCCACACATCTCATCATTATTCCAAGCCATGAATGGTGCACAATCTTTTCTTTTCTCAGCGTCGCCACTAGGATAGCCAAGCCCATCATCCCACATTAACACATATATGCTCAAGCACAGCATTCAGCCTGGCAGGATTCAAGACATTCTTGAATCCATTCCAGCGTTTAGTCTAAACTTTAGGGATGCTAAAGGAGATATCCAAGGTGCTGAATCCTATCCCCAAAATAGGTTTAGTATCTTGAATAATTCCTTCAAAGTTTGGATTAAATCCTAGTGCAGATTTACTATTATTCGGATATATCTATCACTGATTAAGGGTCTGTTCTGGTAAAGAAGATTCAAGAGGGCCAGGATACTAGGTTTTGTTTTGTTTTCTTAAATCTCTAGTACTTGTCAAGAAGGCAGAGTGATGTCAGACAAGACAGGATTCTTTGAACACACCCTTTTGTTATACTATTTATATCTGTTTTAAGCACCAGAGCCATATTTTAGAAATACGATTATTTTAGTATTAATAATTTTAGTTGGTATTAGTATATATGTTGGTTATGTTTTCTTGTATATACTGTATTCATCATCATTACAATGGCACAATGAAAATAAAAATTTGACCGACTTTGATTACTATTGGTTATATCTAATGATGTGGAACGACAATACCTCAATGAATCTTGTAGTCTTTAAGGTGCCAAAAGACTCAAATTTTTTTATCTCTTTTGAGTGGTGAGGAATGTATATTTAGAACAGTACAATGCACATTCTAAAAAGGATCCTTGTAATTCTTCTGAAGTATAATCATGTATGGCTTGATTGAAATCCTTCTATTTTCTCTTTCCAGGTTTCAATTATAAATTCCACTGATTTGACTTTTATTCAAAATTTCACTGGTGAGCAGGTAATAATAATAGCAATAATTCAGAATACCTATGTATCAACTTTTTAAAACGGAGGATACAAGGCTGTCCGAATAGTTATAGCCTCCTACAACATATATCTGTAGGAACACTCTTGAAATGGAATGTTACCATTTATGAACTGAGAGTTGAAAGGGATCCTTGATATAAAAATAAGGTGTTCTTTATTTACAGATGGCATCTTACTTTGGATATACTGTTGCAGTGTCAGATGTTAACAATGATGGGTAAGTTGCTAATAGCAATATATTTTGTTCTGTGCTTTGTTTTTTGTTTCTGGTGTCTTCCATTTAGTCCCCCCCCCTGGAGTCAAACCACTTAATACTAAATTGTCTATTTGCAGTAGGGATGCTAAAATCTTTAGAGACCCAACATAATTTGCATTTCTCAGTACACTATAGTACTGACTGAAATGCTAATATTATTTGGATGCTGTCATTCAAAGGATTTTACATAAGGTTATATGCAAGGAGAGAGAAACTGGTCCACAAATGATATATTTCAGGAGTAAGGATACAGAAATTTAACAGACAGTAAAATACAGATTAAACAGCAAAAATAAAAATGTTGAAATCACATAAATACATGATGTCTTTAGCAGCATACAAGCAACCAGTGCTAATCCATAAAATATAATATCCTAAGAATACATTATGTCAGAATGGCTCTCTATCTCTAGGTGCTATCATTCTGTAATTCTCATAATTTTCTAATTTTGTTTTTGGCTCAACAAACCATTAAAATAATTATATTTTAGGGAAGGTTGCATTAAAAAATTCATAACTTAGAAAAGTTACTTTTTTGAACTATAGCTCCCAAAATCCCTCAGCTACTTTCTAAGCACTGCAAAAGTTTTTTTTTCCAAACTCTGCAAAAATTATATTGCAAAAGGATGTGTACAAAATGCTTATGTCAGGGGAAGTTGCATATGCAAATGAATTTGAATATTCATTATTTTCTTAAATCACAAAGTAATGCATAAACTAGACAGAATGGACATGTCTGAATACATGTAAAGCTGACATGAACCAAGTATAAATTGTTTTATGTCCTTATTCGATGATCTGTGAGACTATTCCTCAACTACACTGGCCTAAATGCATTGAGAGAGAGAATTCAGCTTGGCAGTACATGTTTAGATAGAATTAGACTCCTAAATCTTTTAATCTTTCCAAAATAGCCAATATTCATAAATATCATGTTTTCATTATATTATTTGGGGGGGGGGATCAAAATACTAACCTGCTGAAAAGCCAAAACAAACAAACAATTCAGTCATCTTTCTTTGTGCAGCTTTGCTCCTAGCTTTTCCATTTTTCTCTGTTTTGAGCCAAATCCAGCTAACTAGCCCTACTGATTGCAGTGGCTTTTTCCCTAGATAGGACTAACATTGGATTTAACCCTTTGTGTTTTTCTTTTTTAAAATATAGTCCTTCCTAGACAATCAGTACTCACATGTTGCAGGGATCAACACAGCTCTTCCCTTGTTGGCTTGAAAACTTTACCTTCCAGCAGCAAATTTCAGTAGTTGCTCACTGGGTGTAGTCCCCATTGCCCCATTCCATCTCACACTTCCAATATGCCTGTTGAAGTTTTGAATGCCATGTAGACTGTGACTGATTTCCATGGTGAACAGCTGGTGACAAGGAACTCATACCTCCTTAGCATACCTGCACTGGTTTA